GCGCACGCGGCCTGCACAGCCCCTTTAAGCTGAACTCCAGCTTGATCTATGTCCTGCAAGCAACAGGGCCTTCCTAGCTAGTTACGGTGGGCACCCAAGAGCAGTGGCAATAGCTCCCATGTTTGAAGGGCTTTGGGGGGCTCCTTGACCAATTATTGGTATTTCTAATACCCACTTTTATTTTACGTGTATGGCTGTTTTGCACAGCTTGTATATGCCTGGTGCCTATGGAGGCCAGAAGAGGACATCAGATCCCCTAGAAAAGGAGTTACAGTTGTGAGGCACCAAGTGGGTGCTGGGAATCAAACCCTGGTCCATGGAAGAGCAGCCAGTGCTCTTAAACACTGAGCAATCTCTCCAGTCCCCAATGGTTTTGTTTCTTAGTTTTTGTTTTGTTTTGTTTTTTTGAGACAGGGTTTCTCTGTGTAGTTTTGGTGCCTGTCCTGGATCTCACTCTGTAGACCATGCTGGCCTGGAACTCACTGAGATTTGCCTCCCAAGTGCTGGGATTAAAGGCATACACCACCAATGCCTGGCAGAGCAATGTGTATTCTTTTTTTATAATTTTTTTTTTTTTTGAAATAGGTTCTTGGATCTTATGCAGCCCTGGTTGGCCTTGAACTCACTATGTGGCCCAAGATGACTAGGCACTTCTGATTCTCCTGTCTCCACTCCCGAGTGCTGGGATTATAGGCATAGACCATCAGCCATTTTATGAGGTGCTATGTTTACCACTTTGGTTGGTGGTGGGATCTGGGAGAGTGGAGCCTAAAAATGAGGTGGACTAAAGTCACATGCAATCGCCAGTTTGCAAGAGGTCACCTGAGTAAAGGTCTCATGCGCTCAACCTGTCTATAGCAACAAGGACAGCTGCACCTGGTAAAAACGCTTCCCCCCAGAGGCACCGAAACAGTAACAATGGACAGTTGTAGCCAATAATCTGAAGTGAACTCACTCCTGTCTGCCACACCCGGGAGGGCACGAGAGCATTCCACCAACAGTTCAGAGTCTGGAGGACACCCAGGTCAGCAGACTTGCCTCGTCTTCTTGGCGTTTCCTCACATGCACCCAGAATTCCCCTTGCGCGACTCCACTCTTGGCCCCTGTCCCGACAGTGCTGGGGACTGGGCACTGCGTAAGAACTCTACCAGCAGTGACAACTCCAACCCCTACGCTTCTTTTCATCTTGGGCAGGTGCTTTATTCTGCTTCATTTCACTGCGAGACAGGGTCTCACTGTGTATCCCAGACTGGCCTCAAACTCCACATCCTCCTGCCTCAGTTTCCCGAGTGTTTAAGAAGAGAGGAGACCAAATGCTCTGCGCGCCTCTTAGTTGTGTCTCCAGTGTTGCTCAGGATCGCTCTACTCCCTTTAGTTCCTGACAACTACAATCCCCAGCCTGTCTGGTTTGGGGACGGTTAGGCATTTTTAAACTTCCAGTGCCAACGTTTCTCCTAAGATCAAGCAGGCAAGATTTCTCTAGTTCAGGCGGGTTCTCTCAAGGGAAGCACTGTAACTTCTCGCTGTGCCAAACTGAAGCCGAAGGAAGGTTCACACCTTCAGAAGGACAGAGTACACTTGTTGTCAGACTTGGATCATTTTATTTTAGTTCGGTGCTTTCTTTTTGGTTTTGAGACAGGGTCTCACTATGTAGCCCTGCCTGACTGATCTGGATCTCATTATGCAGATTAGGCTGGTCTCAAACTCACAGAGATCTGCCTGACTCTGGTTCCTGAATGCTGGTGTTAAAGGCGCACCTCCACTAAGCCCATCCATGGGACGTCAACTTAAAATGCACTTCCTGGAGCTGGTGGGATGCTCATCATGTAACGGACACTTGCTGCCAAGCCTGACAACCTGGCCCTAAGTTTGTCTCTGGAACCCACATAATGGAAGAAGAGAATGGACCCCTGAAAGTTGTCCTCTGACCTCCACACATGGCACATGTACACACACACCATAATTTAAATGAAAAATAAATACAATGCGTTTAACGCATTTTCTGCCTGGTATGGTAAGCAGGCATGTAATCGCAGCACTTGGAGACTGAGACAGAAGGATGGTATCATCCTGAATTTTAGGTTAACCTGGGCTACACAGTGATGTCAAGGCCAGTCAGGGCTATATAGTGGATGCTGCCTTACAAACAAAACACCAAAATGGCCCAGGCCTGTAATCCCAGCACTTGGGAAGCAGAGGCAGAAAGAAGAGGGTTCCGTGTTATCTTAGTTACCTAGGGAGTTAGAGGCCAGCCTGGGCTCCATAAAGGCCTGTGTCAAACAAGAACCAACCAGCAAGCAGACAGAAGATAAACGGGCTCGGGGTGGTCCAGCATCAAGAGCACATCCTTTTGCAGAGGACTTGGCTTTATACCCACATCAGGCAGCTCACAACTGCCTGGAACTCCATGTCTTCCGAGTTCCCATTGTTTCTCATCACGTGCTCGAACCCTCCACACACACATTCACAATTAGGAATCTCTTAAATCTTAAACAGTGGTTCAACTGGCGGAGACCCTCCACACTGGGGTTCCCTCCTGGGCCCCGGATTAGGCACAAACACACTCAAACACCCGTTTTCACATTTATTTTCTTATTTTTTAAGATTTATTTACTTTTGTATGAGTGCTCTGTCTGCATGTCTGCCTGCAGGCCAGAAGGCGGCGGCATCAGGGCCCATCACAAATGATCATGAGCCACCATGTGGGTGCTGGAAATTGAACCCAGGTCCTCTGGAAGGGCAGCCAGTGCTCTTAACCACTGAGCCATCTCTCCAGCACTGAGAGCACTTTATTGAGAGGGGAAGAAATGTTCAAGTGGCTGGTTTCTGACTCAGGCAGAAAAACAGAAGCAAATGACCTTGCAGGTGTCGTTTTTCTTTCTCTCTCTCTCTCTTTTGGTTTTTTGAGACAGGGTTTCTCTGTGTAGTTTTAGAGCCTGTCCTGGAACTCACTCTGTAGACCAGGCTGGCCTAGAACTCACAGAGATCCGCCTGGCTCTGCCTCCCTAGTGCTGGGATTAAAGGCGTGCGCCACCACTGTCAGGCAGTGTCATTTTTAAGAAGAGAGAAAGGGGAGGTCTGTGTTAGAATGGGCTAGGATATTTTGATTGGGCATTTATTTAGGTGAACCAAAGAGTTTTTGTTGTTGTTTTTGTTTGTTTGTTGAGACAGGGTTTCTCTTTGTTGTCTTGACTATTCTGGAACTCGCTCTGCAGACCAGGCTGGCCTTGAACTCAAGAGATCCTCCTGCCTCTGCATCCTGAGTGCTGGGATTATAGACGTGCACTACCACCAGCTAGCTCCAAAGGGGCTTTTGATTGCTGGACTTCAATTCTTTGATAGCTGGACCTTGGTAGTCAGCCTCAAGAGGAGGAAGTGGACAAAAGGGACTAGACCTTGGTGGCTAGTTTTAGGAATGTCATCTAAGGCAGAGAGGATGGAGAGAGTGCTTACCACGTTCAAGCTGGCCAGTCTCCTCCTGGACCCCTCCAGTCCTAGAATTCCCATTGGTCAAGTGTCAAGGCTTTGAAGAGCTTTCATGGGAAGGTGAAGCATGCTGCAGGCCAACACTTGGCAGACAGTTAGTTCAGCTTCTTGGCTCTGCAGTAACTTACTAATCTTTGTTCAGATTTTGGTGTTGCTATTAATACACAGTGACTCACCAGAAGCGCAGCTTCCTGGAATGTTCTTCCCAAGGAGGTGATGTTCCTTCCCATGGAAGACAACTCTGCAAATCATTCTTTAAAGGTCTGAGCACATCCAGAGCACTTAGACGGGGGAACAAAGCTTCCTAAATAATACAAAAGCATGTAAATGAATTGCTCTCGGCACAAAGGCAAAGTATCAGTTGTATTTATTGGTTATTCATCCCACAAATATGGACCAGGCGCCTGCCTTGTGCACCAAGCCAGCAGTGAAGACTTTCTGTCCACACCTGTCTTTGCAGCAGACAGGAGAGGCAGGCTGACCTGCAGCTACCAGTCATCCCATTACAGTGTGCAACGGAAGGTACGGGTAGCCTGGGGGTGTAGCACAGTGGTAGAGTGCTACCCTACAATGTGAGAGGTATTGGGTAACATACTCAGAGGGAGGGAGGGAGGGAGAGAATGCAAGAACATTCAGGGGCATATGTCACAAAAAGATTTTCTCAAGAGAGGCATCTAAACAGAGGCAGACAATGGAGTGGGTGTTAAGCTGGAATGCAGAGGCAGAGAGGCCATGTCAACCAAGTTAGTGCTCACTCAATCAGGGTTGCTGTTTGTGGGATGAAATATTTTTGAAAATAGTGTGAATTGGGAATGGTGGCTTATCCCTGTAATCCTCCTAAGCACTGAGGGGAGATCTCTGAGAGTGGTGAGACCAGTTATATACCAAGTTCCAAGACAGCCTGGGCTACATGGAGATCTCACAAGAAAAAATAAGCTATGGTCCCAGCCGTGGTGGCTCACACCTTTAGTCCCAGCACTTGGGAGGCAGAGGCAGGTGGATCTCTGTGAGTTCCAGGCCAGCCTGGTCTACAGAGAGAGTTCCAGGACAGACGAGGATACACAGAGAAATCAAGTCTCAAAAAACCAAAACCGTGCTTGCTTCAGCAGCACATACACCAAAACTGGAACAATACGGAGATTAGCATGGCTCCTGCGCAAGGATGACAAGCAAATTCATGAAACCTTCCATATTTTAAAAAAACAAACCATAGGAGGATGCTAGATGTGGAACAAGGATGACTGGACTGCTACTCACATCACCAGTGAGGCTACCTGGAAAACAGGACCCCAAGAAAGACACGAGGATCGCCCCATGACGGAGAAATGGATGAGATCTACATGAACAGCCTGGACATGAGTGGGAGCAATGAAGGGCGAGGGTCGAGGGAAAGAGAGTGGGAGGGAGCGGGAGATCCCAGCTGGATCAAGAACAGAGAGGGAGAACAAGGAATAGGAGACCATGGTAAATGAAGACCACATGAGAAAAGGAAGAAACAAAGTGCTAGAGAGGCCCACAGAAATCCACAAAGATACCCCCACAAAAGACTGCTGGCAATGGCCGAGAGACAGCCGAGACTGACCTACTCTGGTGATGGGATGGCCAAACACCCTAATAGTTGTGCCATAAACCCCATCCAAGGACTGAGGAATCTGGATGCAGAGATCCACGACTAGGCCCCTGGTGGAGCGCTGGGAGTCTAATTAGTGAGAAAGAGGAGGGTTTATATGAGCGAGAATTGTTGAAACCAAGGTTGGATAAAGCACAGGGACAAATAACCAAATGAATGGAAACACATGAACTATGAACCAAAGGCTGAGGGGCTCCCAACTGGATCAGGCCCTCTGAATAGGTGAGACAGTCGATTGGCTTGATCTGTTTGGGAGGCAACTAGGCAGTGGTACCAGGTCCTGTGCTCATTGCATGAATTGGCTGTTTGAAACCGGGACTTATGCAGGGACGCTTGGCTCAATCTGGGAGGAGAGGACTGGACCTGCCTGGACTGAGTCTATCAGGTCAATCCCAGTCCTCGGGGGAGACCTTGATCTGGAGGACGTGGGAATGGGGGGTGGGCTAGGGGGAAGGGGCGGGGGACAGGATGGGAGAGAACAAGGGAATCTGTGGCTATTATGTAGAACTGAATAGTATTGTAAAATAAAATAATTGTAGATAATTGTTCAGATTATAACAATAAACTCAATTAAAACATAAAAAAAAAAAACAAACAAGAGAAGCTATGGATGTGCCTCAGCTCAGTGATGGAGTACTTGCCTAAAATGCATGAGATCCTACATTTAATCCTCAAGACTAGACACACACCAGAGCAAGGAATGATGAGGTACACTTGTAATGCCACACTTGGGAGAAGAGCTCAAAGACAGTTTTAGCCATGGGAAGTTCAGGTTAGCCTTGGCTGTTAAGACCTTGTGTCAAACTCAAAGGAAATCCCTGTGCTGGCTAGTTTTGTGTCAACTGACAAGTTTGTCATCTGAGAGGAGGGAACTTCAACTAAGGCCTCTTGGGAGGGGGGAATCTCGTTTCAGTAACTTTTAATCAGATTAGTACGGAGGCATGTCTGTGGAGGGTTGTCCTATTGATATGGACCCAGCCTATTGTGGGCATCATCATTCCTATGCAAGCACACGTATTTGCTTACTATATAGACAGAAACCGGTCAGCTCAAGAAAACGGGCAAATGAGTGCATTCATTCATCTCTGCTCTTCACTGTGGACGTGATGACTAGCTGCTTAAGTTCATGCTGCTGGCTCTTACAAAATGGTAGTCTATAACTTGGTATTATAAAGTAAACCTTTAAAAAAAATTTTTAATTAAAAAAACTTAAAAAAAAAGCCGGGCGGTGGTGGCGCACGCCTTTAATCCCAGCACTCGGGAGGCAGAGCCAGGAGGATCTCTGTGAGTTCGAGGCCAGCC